CTTTTACTTCTCTGAATCACTTGAATATAGTTATGCTTTTCTGAGTATTTATCATGATTTAATTCCGGTAATCAAGAATCTGAAATATGAATAGTGTTGCCTTCTTTGCTAGCTCCTTTATAATGGAGGAAGTCTTTCTCTGTATGTTTAATTTCCATATTTATTAGCAGAGTAAATTACTAAAACTTCAAAACAAACAAAAAAACCTCACTGCCATTGAGTCTATTCTGACTCATACCAACCCCTCCTTGGGTTTCCGAGGCAGTATCTCTACAGAAGTAGATTGCCCAGTCTTCCTTCCGAGGAGCAGCTAGTGGGTTTGAAACACCACCTTCTGGTTAGCAGTCATATGCCTTAGGCACTATGCCACCAGAGCGCCCATTACTAAAACTTAGACAGTGTATATTGTATCCATATTTTCAGAGACCTTATTTACAGCTTGTGACTTAGTAAATTTTAGCTTCTTGCACAAGGTGAAAAGGGAACACTGGCTAGGAGGAAACTATTTGTATAGGGCTTATTAAATAGCATGGAAAAAGAAGAAAAAACAAACACAGTAAGAATATGTATTTTTAAAATATATCAGAATTCAGAAGAAGGCCTCACTAGAGAACAAAGTTTCATAAACAGAAAAGTGAAAATAAGAGGAAGGAAAACCAATAAAAATCTGTATTTTGTTTCTGAGAAATTATATCGTTTGTAGGAAATGGGCTAGTTTGTTTTGTAATAGGAATTTAAAAAATAATATTGGAAGACAAACCTAAAATCCTTCTAGACCATTTCCCTCCCCAGGCATGGTTGTGTGTAATTATCAAAGCATTTATATCCATGATTGTATGGATAATTTTGCTCTGTGTATGTGTGAAGTCATATATAGTCAACTTTTCACCAAAAATTATCCACGAATGTCATTTTTCCAGAGTTCTTTTTTTTCCCTATTACAATGGGGCGATGAATTTTCAATGCACACATATCTTTTTATAATGTGCTACTATGTCTAGGTAGGATGTTGAAGGTTGGCATTGTTGAGGGTGTGTGGATGTAGTGACTAGTGATGGGTTGCCTCAAAGGATGGCTCTGTCAACATTATCTGATACTACAAATCTATTTTCCCTAACCCTCAGTAATACTTTGCAAAAACTAAACTTTTGAATTGTCAAACTACTGATAAGGAGTAGCCTCTCCTTGCAAATTAGACTTGCATTCCTCTGATTGCTGGAGAGGCTGGGCTTCCATTTGTTTATAGGACATTCAAGTTTTCTCCTCTGTGAATTGCCTGTTTCTGTTTCTTGCCTATTTGAGTTGTTCATACCAATGTATGGGAACTCATATAAGTATGTGTGTGTGTATAGATAGATATTTCATATATTTTCTCCAAGTCTATTTCTTTTGACTTAGATTATGCTTTTTGTAATACAAGAGATATGTTTATATAATGTAAGACTTAACAGTATGGACTTTGGAGTCAAACTTATAGGATTTCACCAATTTAGCCATGTTGTTTGTGTGTGCTGTCATGTCAATTCTGACTCATAGCAACCCTATAGGATAGAGTAGAACTGCCCTATAGGGTTTCCTAAGTGGAAATCTTTATTGGGAGCAGATTGCCAGGCCTTTTCTTCAGCAGAGTAGCTGGTGTGTTTGAACTGCCAACCTTTTGGTTTGCATACAAGTGCTTAATGATTGTGCCACCAAGACTCCTTAATTTAGCCATAAAACCAAACCAAACTCACTGCCATTGAGTCAATTCTGACTCATAACAACCCCCTTTGGGTTTTGGAGGTGGTAAATCTTTATGGAAGTAGATTGCCCAGTCTTCCTTCTGTGGAGTGGCTGGTTGGTTTGAACTGCCAACCTTCTGGTTAGCAGTCAAATGCC